TACTAATGCATGAAAATCCTAACCTCAAAAAAATCACCCGTTATATGGCAAAAATCTGATTTATTCCTTCTGTCACGGGTGGGACAAGAAAAAGAACCTGCTTTTTGGATATATATTACGGAAACTGCGAATTTATTTCACTTTTCTGTGTGAACTTGAACCGGAACACAAACAAATCAAAAACTACAAAAAAAAACATGGCTTTATTATACAAAAAATCTGAAATTCCTCTGTCACGGGCGGGACAACGTTTGTCACGGGTAGGACACGTACGAATTTTTATATGAAAAGGAGTTTTAGTGTGATATGTGATATGTAAAGATTAGTTATTAAAAAATATAAGAAGCCAAGTAGGGGTTAAATTCACTCACGTTTTATCTTAGGATGGTGCCTTTTATATAGAAGAAAATGCTTAGCACCGTCAGTCAAAAAAATTATTAAAAATTAACGCGATTTCCTAGCGCCTTTAAATTTTCACTTTTCCCTACTTAAATTTAATGGACTACAAAACTGCATACCTAAAAACTCTGAACAAAAAGTTTTAAGTTAAAATTTTTTGGGCGTAGTTGTTAAAGTTTGTTCAATGTTTATAATTTTTGTAAGAAGTTTGAAATGTAGATTTAGGTGGTTCCGGTTAATAAACGTGCTAGACTTTTATAAAAAAAAAAAATATAAACATTAGATTAACAAAATAAAAAAACCAAAACTGGTCAAAATGTAACTTAACTTAATCAGCTGAACACAAGGTTATATACATAGATAATGGACGAGTCCGCGCACTCCCGCAGGTAATAAAAATGCATTTAAAGATTTAATTTGTTATTTTTTGGTTGGTTCAAGATTTTTACAAATGTTTTATCCACATGTTTGTAAGTTTCATAAAGAAAATTGTTTTTGCACTGAGGCCCACTTTCCCATGGAATCTCCCAGATGTAAATACACTCGGGTGCATAAATATAAATCACCTACGAGTGCGCCAGTGTTGCTGATGGCGCTCCTGTTTTTGATGACAGTGTATCGGTGTTTAACTCGTAACGAGCACCGTTTGCAGACTACAATGTTGCACATTAAAAGCGATAACAACCAGCCACAGCCACGCTCTCCTTTAATGTTCTACTAAAAAAAAATAGTCCTTTAAATGTAAGTTGGCATGAGTGTCGTATGCGAGATAAATTCAAATTGACACATTTATTTCACAAAAAGGTTCACTTGGAAGCGTAAATTTATCGTTTT